AAAATACAAAGTTACATAACCAGCATTCAACCAGTTTTTGTTTTTAACACAAGGAGAACATATCAGACAAGCTCGGATCACTGATCCTACTCCACAACCACTTTAAAACAAATGCATTTCCCTCTACCATAATGGCATTTAAGAAAGAATGTGAAACTCAAACATGTTCTGTCACTAAATGCAAAATGAAAAATTAATTTCATTTAGCAATAGAACATGGATAGGACTACAATTCAGAAGATAAATGTTTAACAGGCATTCATAAAAAATAAGCCTGCTTATAATTACTTCCTAATAAACTTTATTGACAGCATTGCACATCAAAAATATGCATTATCTAGAAACAGAATAATATTGCTTTTCCTATGTGCTACAACCACCTGAGAGGTAGTTTTGAGGATCTCCAAAGTGGAAAGCTGCAGGTACAAAAACTGCATCTCAGCTTCTTCAAACTGAAGGCAGTGTGATGTTCTACAGCTATTTGAAGTAACCGGGGACGGGGGCATCTCAGTTTCACCTCCCTGTTTCTTGTACAACACTAAATGGGGCAAATAGTTGCAAAGTATGTTAGTGCAGAGGGATGATCAGAAGAAAGTGAAACAAGGTTCGGAAGTAAAGGGAAGTGGAGGGAAGTCATCAGAACCCTGAACTCAGTAACTGATCACGCAAGTGGTACCTACAAACAGGAGGGAAAGGGAACGCAGTGCCAGGGACAACCACAAATGCCCTAACTTACGGAACCATTTGCCCAGACACAGTCCATTCAGGGAAACATAACTAAGGTTTCCACACCAGCAACTACCAAGGAAATCTAACATGAAAATTCTTTGAAACATCACAGAGCTTTAAACACCTAACTGCTCAAAAAAGTTCTAACCATTCTCCTTTAAATGGTTTTACTGTCTTTAAGAAAGAAAAAGTGAATGAGACAGAATGTTGAACTACTATTCTATGCTTTGCACACTAAATAAAAAATTGGTACCAGATAAGATGCATCCAGAGGTCCTGAAAGAGCTGATATTTGTTCAAGGTTGCTCTCTAACATCTTTGAAAGGTCACAGAGATTAGAGGAAGGGCCCTATAGTTGCAGAAAGACAAATCTCATACCCAGCTTTCAAAAGGGTAAGAAGGATGACCTGAGGAACCACAGGCAGGTCAGCCTCACTTCTGACACTAAAAATTTTATAGAGCAAGTCCTTCTGGAAGACATTTCTTGACACACAAAGAAAAAAAAACACCAGGGACTAGGAATAGCCAGCCTTTAACAATGCTTTAAAACAAAAAAAGCCTAATGAGCCATCTGCCTTCTACAATAAAATTACTGGAATATGTGAATAAGGAGAGAGCAGAAAAGTATCAAAGCTGGGTCATTACAATCCAAATGGGTTGCATTGATGAAAAACTGGCTGAGGCACTGAGATCAAAGTTAAAGTTCAGTGGTGAATGACACTGGAGGTTGGTTAAAGGTGAAATTTTTCAAAGGTCTGTACTGACACTAACTTATGTGTCTTACCAGTTTTGAGGAGGACACCAAATTTGGGGAAAAATATTTGAGGACAGGATCAACTAGAGAGAGAGGAATTCGCTGGCAGGAATCCTATGAAATTCAACATGGGCAAAGTCCTGTACTTTGGACAGAAAAATCCCTGGCACCAATACAGACTGGGAAACAACTGACAGGGCTATACCTCTACAGAGGTGAAGAGCAAGCTAAACACGGATGAGCAGAGCACTCTCGCAGCATGAAGCCTAACAGCAGACTCCACTGCATCAACAAGAGCCCAGCCAGTGGGCTGAGGAAAGCAATGGTTTCCCTTTATTTAGCACTCGTTAGACCACATCTGGAATACTGCAACCTGTTTGGGACCCAGCAGTATTGAGCTTGAGGAAGCCCAGCAAAGACCCACCATGCACCAAGATGGCCTATGAAAAGGGCTGGAGCACAAAACCTGTGAGGTCAGGCTGAAGATTTGTACAGAGCAGGAGAAACTTAAAATGCACCCTGTAGCAGCTTTCCAGTATCTACGAGGAGGTCATTGAGAAAACAGAGCCAGGCTCTCTTCTGAGATGCAATACAAGAAGAAAGGAGATCTCAGCTGTCAAACTGAAATGGAGGAGATTTTACGTGAAATAAACAGGGGTAACTATGGTATACAAACATGAGTTAAAAATTAAAGATAGAATGAGTGTCCATATGACACCTACACCTATTCCTGGAGAAGAGAAGGCTCCAGGAGGACCGCAGAACACCTTCCAGTCCCTAAAGGGGCCTACAAGAAAGCTGGAGAGGGACTTCTGACCAGGGCCTGTAGAAAAAGATATCAAAGTCTTGAAGTGTCTCAAGACAAAACTCATCAGAGTAGTGATTATTAAGGAAATTAGGAGAAGAAATCTATGTAGTCCTAGCTTGGTATTTGATCTAATTTTGAAGGACCTGACATATTCGCCAGCACAGTGAATACTGAGTAATTCTGGATATGACGGCTAACCAAGGAATCAGAAATACAAGGTTTTTGGTGGCTCAGTCTTAACGTTAAGCCTGATCAAACTGTTTATTAATACTCCCATTTGTAAAAGGTATCACTTAGCAGCCCTTACATACTCAGCTATAGTGTGTGAAAGACAGAACTGTTCTCTCCAGCACTAAACAAAAAAATGTTTCCCAATCCTTTAGCACCATTCAGTGGCCATTCATTTGTAATGCAGTCGCATATATAGACACAAGTAGAAATCTATCTTCCTCTCTAGAGAAAATTAAGAAAGGCTGGCATGTATCATATCAATATCGTTAGCTGTGAATGGCTGCTTAATATTGCATAATTTATTAATTCATTTGAAAACACTGAAACCTCTAAAGTGGGCAAAGAAGAAAAGCATGCAAAACAATGTTAGGAACGCATTAAAAAAAACTCCCAAAGCCCGAAATCCAGAAAGTCAAAGCTGCACACAATAAATTATCACACATCTTTCCACTTGCCAGGCTTCAATCAAGTTTAGGAAACAAAAGATTGTAAAGAGATTACACAGGAGTACCTGGGAAACTGTAAAACAAGACATCTAGAAGAATAACATTCTATGTCTGAGATGTAGCTCCCTTAAAAAATTTAAGAAAGACTAGGTGGTTATAATATTCAAACATGATGTTTGAGAAGTTGTGGCACTTAGTGCCATGGTCTAGTAACAACGGTGGTAGTGGATCAAGGGTTGGACTTGATGATCTCAGAGGTCCTTTCCAACCTGGTAGATTCTGTGTTCAAGAAAGTTCTCACTAAAATCTTGTCTAAGCCCAGGAAGTTTCACCAAGCCAAAACAAGCAGACATCGAAAGTACTCCACTCAATGCCAACAAGGTGTTTAGCACCACAGGCAGGCAAAACTTCTCCCGCAAAGAAATGCCACTCCATTTCAGGGATAGAAATATCGGCACAATTTCACATCTCTGCAAATCAGGACTACTGTTCACCTTCAGTCAAACCATTCTGTTTGTAACCAAATCCCTCAATATCCCCAACTCCCTCTAAACATAAAACTAAAGGATAACTAAAAGTGAAGTTCCTATTAAACAGACTGACTATTTTTCAGGAATTTATATTATTTGGAGCTTTCTTGAGTGAAATCTGTTACATATTGACTGAATTCTATTTGGGTGGAATCACACACATGTCAAACCTTTGGGCATAGCAACTGCCTAAGTCACCACAGATTCAACAAGAATAGCAGCTGTTTTTTAATGATACTACAAGGAGCAACAAAAAAATGAATTTACTTTTTTAAGGAATTAAAACCGATGATCATATAATATTACTGTCACAAGATAACAACAGACAGCAACGCAGTTCTTCAAGACTAGTAATTTCATAATTCACCTCGCTGGTCTTTCTACGAGGCTCTGTAGATGTAGCAAAAGAGTAGCTGTTTCTACAAAATAAAACATAGCCGTTTAAACTGATTGTCTAAAAAAAGCCTCAGTTCATCTTCAAAGCAACATCATGCTGTCAATTACTACCAGATCCTTCTGGACAGGAAGAACAGACAGGAGCAGCACATCAGTCGAGAGCTGATGTTGTACCCCACACGGCGGAACATCCCGGTATGATGCATGAATATCCCTGGGCAAAACCAGACAATAACATATTCCCAATAAACTGTGAGCACCATCTCCCAGGAGGCTGTAAATTGTTTTTACGACTGCTCAGCGCCTCCCGTCCAACACGCACGCCTACATCCCACACTAGATGCGTCGTTCCAGCCCTCAGGCGGCGGTTCCAGGGACAGAGGCCCGACTGTGCTCCGCGAGCACAGGGAGCTGCGCTCCGCTTCCAGGGGAAAGCGCTTTAGGTCCGGTTTAGTTTAAGCTGATCCCTGCTCGGGAAGGCCTCTGGACAAAGAACGGGCAGAACAGCCGCCTCAAGCCCCATGCGCAGAGAGGAAGGACTCTCCCCTCTCCCGAAGCCTCTTCGCCCGGCAGGGAGCCGGGAAGAGAGGCAGACTTCCCTCCCCTCGCCCCCCGGCAGAGAAGAAGAGAGGACTTTTCCTGTCCTCCCTCCGCCCCGGTCGGAGCGGGGGTAAGGCGGGACACACGGAGTCTCGCTCGCAGAGCGGCGCAGCAGAGGCCGGGCCGGGAGGGCCGGACGGCGCAGCCCATCGGGGTCGCTCCGAGCCGGGCCTCGCCTGCCCCGCGCGGGGAGCGGTACCGGGACACGGCCCCGGGCGGGCCCCGCGCCCGCAGCACTCACCGGGCCCCGCTGGGTGCTGACGGTGGTCGCCATGGCGCCTCGTCGGGGCCGAGACCCTTCCTCCTCTTCCTCCTCCCGCCCCGCCAGGCCGCCGCTCCCGATCCCGGTGCCGATCCCGATCCCGGCGCCACCCGTCAGTCAGCGCGAGCCGCGCGTCACCTGACCAGCCCGCCCCGCCCCCGGGGGCAGCGCAGCGGCGCCCTCCTGCGCACGCGCCTGTCCGCGCGCCGGGAGGGGCGGGGAGTCCTCCCGCGCATGCGCCGTTGCGCGCTGCGGCCGCCGCAGCGGAGCGCGGCGCTGCGGGGGCGTCGTGGCCGGTAGGGGGCGCTGCGGCGCCGGCGGAGCAGGTGAGGCGCCTCAGGCCGCCATCTTGTGCCGGGGGCGTCGTTCCCGCCGCCCAGGGCGCCCCGCGGGCAGGGCGGCTGTGCGGCCGGGGGTGTGTGGAGCCCGTGGGGCGCTCTCTGCTCGCTCTCTGCCGGCCGTGGCAGCCATATGTGAAAGGGAACGACCCACTGCCTGGCCTGGCCTCAATGGTTTCCCAAAGCTTGCCGAGCAAGCGCAGCCCTCTCCGGGAGAACAAAAGCAGCTTTAATATTCATTGGAGTGCCGCTTCGGGAGATAAAGTCTGATTATTCCTAAGCCTGTTTAAATAACAGAACTGTTTCCCGTTGTTAGGGCTGTTTCCTGTTGTCAGGATCTGCGGCATAATTTTAGCCCTTAATTAAAATTCTAGCACGGATTTTGGCAGCTAGAAATAGAACAGTGCAATTAGGAATGCTCCAAATATAGCACCAGCTTTTTTTTTCTTTTTTTCCCCCCACACTATACTTTCAGTGGGAACAGCTTCATCTTTTTACTTCGTAGAATCACAGAATGTTAAGGGGTTGGAATGGACCTTACAGATCATCCAGTTCCAACCCCCCTGCCATGGGCAGGGACAGCTCCCACCACACCAGGTTGCTGAGGGCCCCATCCAGCCTGGCTTTGAACACTTCCAGGGTTGGGGCATCTGCAACCTCCTTAGGCAACCTGTTCCAGTCTTGTCACCCTCACAGTAAATAATTTCTTCGTAATATCTTAGCTGATTTTCCCCCTTTTCAATTTATATCCATTATTCCGTGTCCTATCACTACACTTCCTGACGAAGAGTCTCTCCCTGGCTTCCCTGTAGGCCCTGGAAAGGTGCTATGAGGTCTTCACACAACCCTCTCTTCTCCAGGTTGAACAGCCCCAACTTCCTCAGTCTGTGTCATGATACTCAGAGAAATGAGTAAGACAGGGTGTACTGGATTGGGAGCCATTGAAGGGACACAGGTGATGCCAGCTGAAAGTCACCAGCTGATGGGAACAGCTCTAAGGTTCCTCTTACTCCTGTCAGCACTTCCTCTGCTGGAAGCGGAATTCATGTCAACCTGCAAAACCATTAAAGAAGCAAATTGTCCTTCCGTTGTTCTTACCAATAAAAAAGAACCAAACCTGAAAAGGCATCAGCTTTTTTTATTTAAAAAGCACTGTAAATTCCCCCCCCCCTTTTTTTTAGCTTGTCTCTTGACAAAGTTTGGCTTTTTTCAGGGATAAGGAGTTAAGATTCCTAGAAGAAGGTAACGGGACTAAATTTTTTTCATTGGCTCTTGTATAGGTTTCTTAGCAGAGACAGCGCACGATATGAAGTGGCAATGCAAAGTAATTTTAAACAAAGTGATTAAGAACATTCAGCACTTAAAATATCCGATATGTGCCCTGTCTGTACAAAGCTTGAGTGCTGCTACAGTTATGGTAGTTTATAACAAATGCTATCCAGATGAAGCATCTTTCGGGAAACTCAATTTCTTTATATTCTATATATGTGCAGCAGAGTTTCAATAATTAAAGGAGAGAAGTTTCTAACTAACTAACTTTAACATGGTTAAAGCAGTCAGTAAACCCCATAGAGGTAATGGAAGAAAGTCAATGCTTATCTCTCCAGCTTTCCTGTAGGCCCCCTTCAAATACTGGAAAGTTGCTATGAGGTCTCCATGCAACCTTCTCCAGGCTGAACAACCCCAACTTTCTCAGCCTGTCTTTGAAGGGGAGCTGCTCTAGTGCCCTTATCAACTTTGTGACTCTCATCTGGACTTGCTCCAACAGTTCCATGGCCTTCTTATGTTGGAGATACCAGAACTGTAGGCAGTACTCCAGGTGGGGTCTCACAAGAGCAGAGCAGAGGGAGAGAATCTCTTGACCTGCTGGCCACACTGCTTTTGATGCACTCCAGAACACGGTTGGCTTTCTGGGCTGTGAGTGGTCATTGCTGGCTCATGTTGACTTTTTCATCAACCATCACCTCCAAGTCCTTCTCTGAAGGGAGAAAGTCTTAACATTACTATATCATTACAGCCTTGACATTTTGAGGGCAGGTTGGAGGGGGAAGACTGTTAACAAGCTTCCGTGATATTCTTGCATCTATAACCACAGGAGCAAGCATATTACTTTTGGGTAAGTCATGAGCAGTTACAGTTTTATTCACCATGGATTTAATTCCAAGACCTCATCTAGTCACAATAATTTCAAAGAGATCAGACAGGAGAAAATGTTGTTGTCCCTATGAAATTTATATCAACAGAAAAAGAAAGTAATATTAATTCATAGATTCTTGACATTCATTGTCCTCATATAGAGATACACAGCGACTAAAGTGAGCATTGCCCCTTCCTGACAGCGCTACCACTTCCTCACTGGATATTTTATTTTCTTGTTTTATTATTGTTCTCAGGAAATCCACATAGAATCCAATAACATACTTCTACTCACCATTTTAAGTCATTTGAAGCATTTTTTCAAGTTTTTGTTGTTAAACAAGGCCCCCTGCCCCCTTAAGGCCTGGAAACGGCACAGCAGTGCCGGCATCGCCACCTGGCGAACATCACCCGAACGGGAAGTGGATCCCCAGGGATTAGCGCAGACGGAGTACTGGGACAAGAGCATTAGGCGAGGCATCTGATGTCAGCGTGTTAATTAAAGTGGGAATGTAAGCCATGGGAAAGGTGAGAGAACAGAAGTCATAAAACCTTCTTATTTGCAACATATGGGCATCATTAAGAAAAGGTTGAAAGGTAATCAAAGAAGCTATAATGACAATAAATTGTGTTTATCTTGTAATAAACATTTAGATGTCAATTTCTCCTGTATCATTCTTTCATTCGGATTTCCAGTCTCTTCTCTATTGTTCCCAGTTCTTCATCTATCCTTCAGATTTGTCACAAGCCCTGTATTCCCTGAAATTTCACCTGGAGCTTTCTGTTCACATTTTTTATAACTTCATCTCCTTGCTCCCAGCTATTGACCGTGTAAGAGATAATCCATGTTTCTCAGCTCTCCATGCTGGTTCCCCAATACTGGCCCAAATGCCAGAGGTGAGTTTTACCTTTGCCAAAACCTTTGCCTGGTGGGGACACTTAATAGAGTTTATTTTCTGTAACCACTTGACTCTTTTTATGAAATTTCGAAGAGCTTAATATCTCCAAAGACTTTAAGTAAAAATTGATTATGACTGGACGGGTGGTTGGATGTGTGTAGAGACAAACAGATATGTGTCCACATGGTGTGGTTGCTTGAAAATTATCAAATAGGCACTGCTCCCTAGGCTGGCTCCAGAATATGAAAGTGTAGATGGTACCTAAGCTTTTCTTCATAAAATCAGAAAATAATGTCTCAGCATGGCAGAGGAAGAGAGTAATGCACATGACGTTGTCCTCACTGAAGAACAGTTACAGCAGAATTCCTGCCAAATTAATTTTGTGCTTGTACCGAAAGCCAGAAGGGACACTTGAAAGGTGGAGGAGAGTCTAATACTATGGAAGGAGTGAGCAAACACAAAGCTCAGATGGATAACATCTAACTTCTGGTAGGTATTTATTTAGCACTCAGCACTGGGGTCTGACTCTAAAACTGAAACCTGTCAGACCAGCAAGATGTAAACGCCAGTGTGGTCAGAGGACTACACTTGTACCTCTATGAAAATAGTGCGCTCCTAGGAAGGTCAACCCTCCCAGTTTATTTAGATAAGATACATAATAGAATCCTTCAGTTAGGAAGTAAACTTTAAACTCTTTGTTAGCTCATCTGTTCCCCAGGGAAAGCTCACAAGTAGGTTGGGTGGTTACATTTTATGCCATTTTGAGTATCTCTCATGGTACTGGGCGAGTTCGTACAGTTATTTAACCCCATTTGCTTATTGTGACTTACAAAGACAGTGAAGTCACAAGAATGTGTTTTAAAATGTACTCTTAGCTGATCTAAAGCCAGTCCATAAAAGCAGAGTAACAAATCATAGTTGTGGTTTTTGTAGTTCAGAGATACTCACTGGCCTTGTAGAGGATCTCAGAGTGAACTAGCAAAACAGGTTTGGGGTTAAGTTTTGTAGGTATTGCAAACATACAAGAATATTGTGGGATGGCTATGCATCACTTACATTACTGGCTTGGATCTCAGCCCTTTTCATCATGTCCACGTGGGATTTTAGATACCACAAAAAAGTTACAATTCTATTGCATGGGAAAAAGCATCTTTTGCAAAATGCAGAGCCCAATTCCACCATCCTTCCTTACACAGTCTCAAAGCTGACTTGCAGGCAAGGGTGACAGTGGAGAAGGCCAAAGGGATCTACTGCTCTGTGGACCCAACACATACCAGAGTGGAAGTGCAGAAAAAAGAGAAGGATGCTGTAGGCTTCCAGCTACAGAAAAGCCTTTGGAGCCCTAGTGTGCTAAGCATAGCTTCTAGGGATGTATGCAGATTTACACAAGGGCTGGACACAGAACAAGAATGCTAATCTTTTGTTCATGGTAACAGATCAAGCTTGGTAATGTACAACTGAGCTGAAATAGGAACATGGAAATCCCAGATGGCATTCAGACTGGCTGTAATAAACAATAATTTCCACTTCAATGGCATACAAGGTATTCACTGTGCATTGCAAACTTTAATTAATCCTCACAGTCCAGTTGGGATGCAGAAGAATTACATCCCCCATCATGAAGGAAATATAGCTCCAGCATAAAACGTGGCAACTCCGTAAAAGCACACAGCAACATTGCCCGGGAATTTCAGTCAGGATGGATACTGCACTAAGACTACAAGAGAATTCAGTTGAATAGATTGAAGAGAGAAAGAATTAAATACAAACTGAAGATGAAAATCAGCAATGCCTCCCTCCTGACATCAGACCATGAAACAGAGATGTTAAACAGCAGGCAACTTAACCACCGTCACAAACAGTGCAGAATTTCATACTCCAGTGTTATAGCTGCTGATTGAGCTAGATCAGTATTGGCAAAAGTGTTGTTCGAGCAATTGTGGGGGATTCTAGCAGCAAAGCCAAGAGCACTGCCGAGCAGCTATTAAGTGGCTATTCTTCAGTCACGCTGCACTCAAAATAGCTTTCCAACAGAGGGAAAGCAAATTCTATTGGCTTCAACACCTGGTTGAGCAACTTAATAAGGACAAAATTGAAAGTTAGAGCTGAATCATTATTTATTTTATAACTACATCTTCATCAGACAGTCCACTCCAAAATGAGAGTTATTTCGTTTCAAATCAAGCTTGTGCAAGGTTTTTCTGTAGGTTCATTCAGCACAGAGGTGAGGGGAAGGTTCTTTGAAAACAATTTCAGACAGCAGCTGCTTCAGAGGAGAAGAGTCATCTACAATCATGGGAGGATTTTTTCCGTTTTCTCCAGTTCTGCCATGCTTTTCCCAAACTGTATTTCTTAAGTGTATTTTTAATGCACCAGGAAAATTGTAGCAGTGAAAAGACTGTATTTAGTGTTATTTGGGTAACATGTCCATTTCCAGACAGCATTTCAACAGAGATGAGCAAAGAGTCAGGAGAGAAAAATGCCTCTGTCCTGTGCACAGCAGACACAGAAAACAGTTTGTTCCTCTTATTGAAATTACCTTTTGTGTACTCGAAAGTTGTTACTATTTTACCTCTTAATTTTCTTTTCCCTGAAGTTCAGCTGTTCAGAGGAATGTCAGATTAAATTTATCCTAATTCCTTCAGCTTTTCCTTACAAGTATACTTTTAGCAAGCCTGATAATTATTGTTATCTTCCTCTGTTTTTTTCCCCAGTAGGACAATACCTTCCTTGAAATATCCAAAATTGGACACAGCTGGGGCAGACATCTTCAAGGAGAGCTGAAGAATTGCTAAATATTTTTTAGGTGATAATATAGGCTATAAATTGCAATAAGGGTTTCCCTTTTTTACAGCAGCATAACATTTCTCACTTCTATTCATCTTATGATCTATTTAACATCCAAATCTGTTTCTGACATGCAATTATTTAGCTTGTTCTTCCTCACCTTATTTTTCTGCAGTTCATTATTCTTGCCTAAGTGTGTGACCTGTTTGTTTTTACTGAGTTGCATCCTCACAACGCCTCTTGATGTTGTTCTACAATATATACCTGTTATGCTTGATTGGCAAAAATACCTACCCACAGTA